GGCCGAAATTGAGCATGAGATGACCCTTTGCTCTTCTCGAATTGCTGGCCACTCCACCCTTGCCAACGGAATGTCCACCATGCAGGCTGACCTAGGGTTAGTTCAAAGTTTTCAAGTGCTGCCTCCTCTGCCGCTCCCTACGTTCAGCGGTGGATACTCGGAATGGGCTGAATTTTACTTGATCTTCTCTACAATCGTTGGCAGCAATCCTCGCAACTAATCCAAAAACCTTTGCAACTAATCCAAACCTTATTAGTAAGGTGGAAAAGTTGCAAAGGTGGCGATCTTTCCTTCGGGAGTCCGTTTTCGAAGATCTATGATGTTGCGCTGAATTTATTGGAGAAACGATTTAATAACCGTCGCTTAATATTTCAGGCACACGTGAACGAGATTCTGGGCCTCAGTCTGTTGGAAAGTGGCTCAATAGCAGCACTTCGAGGTCTTTCGGACAAATTCAATGCCCATATGCGAGCCTTACAGAATTTCGGTACATCAGTTCAGATCGCTAGCTGCATCATCGTCCAAGTTCTGCTTTAAAGGTTGGACCCAGCTACCCAGGCCAAGTGGGAGGAGAGTCAAAACTCCTCAGGTTCAGACGCTATCCCTACTTGGGAGTCGATGGCCGAATTTTTGGAGCAGCGGTGTAGGACGCTGGAGGCTATGGACGTGGCTATGGCTGCATACGCCCCGGGCGCTCATGTGGGAATGCGTCGAGTTGCAAATAATAGAAGATCATCCTTTATTGTTACTAATTCGCTTCTCTCTGCCTGTGCTCTATGCGGTGGATGGCCCCATATAATGTCTGCATGCCCCCGATTTCTATCAATGCCCCCTAAGATCCGCCTTGGTGAGGCCAGGTGACTCGGTCTTTGTCGGAAGTGTCTGCAAACGGGCCATCACATGCGTAAGTGCCTCGCTGCTAATTGTCGCAGTTTTGGAAGGAGGCATCACAGCCTGTTGCATTTTCTGGAGCCTCAGGCATCTAGCGGCCAGCCTTTGGTTGGTCCTCCCACGTCAGCCATAGCCGAGGTCACCGAGTCTGTAACCTCTTCGCTGTCCACTGCTAATGCACTAGTTGCTCAAGGTCGCAGCGGCGATATATCGTTGCTTGCTACAGCGAACATTCTTGTTCGTAGTCGCGCCGGATCCGAACTCTGTTGGACTCTGGATCGCAGGTGCACGTGATCACTTCCCGGCTGGCAAGTCAGCTGCAGCTCCGAAGGTACAAATCATTCATGGCGGTGTCTGGTATTGGCGATACCGGTTTTGCGACAGATGGATTCTCTGTTGATGTTCTCCTGCGTTCCCACTGCTCCGAATACTCGGCCCTGGTTAACGCCGTCATCGCCGCCAAGGACGCTCTGTCGCCGTCCTCAATTGAAGGAGCACTATGCTACCTTCATAAAGGAGTATTTGGAGTTGGGTCACATGTCTCCAGTCCCTGCTGATGCGAGCGTCACTGGTCAATACTTTTCTCCACACCATTGTGTTTTAAAAGAGGACAGTTCAACAACCAAGCTCAGGGTTGTTTTTGATGGATCTGCTGTCACAACTTCTGGATATTCATTGAATGACGTGTTGATGTCTGGCCCAGTTATTCAGCCAAAGTTACTGCATATTCTGTTAAGGTTCCGATGCCATCGGGTGGCCATTAATGGAGATATTTGTAAAATTTATCGTTGCGTCAGGGTTTTTCCTGAGAACAGCTATCTTCAGTGTATTCCTTGGCGGGATTCCACCCATGATGAGTTACAGGTTTTTAAGCTGGATATTGTCACCTATGAAACGAAGCCTGCCATATTTTAGCAGTTCGGACAATGCATCAGTTGGCAGATGATGAGCAATAAATCTTTCCAAAGGGGGCCGAAATTCTGCGTCGCGACTTTTATGTGAATGATATACTTTCCGGAGGTGACTCTATAGATGAAGCTATTAGCATAATTCAGCAAACATCCGCGATCCTTGCCAAAGGCCAATTTCGGTTAAGGAAGTGGTGCTCCAATGTTGCTGTCGTGCTGGATAAGGTGCCTGAAAAAGATCGGGAGTCTTTCCTAAGGTTTGATGATGGCAGCAACTTCACAAAGACACTGGGTCTTGCTTGGGATCCTGCAACTGACCGCTTGCTCTTTTCCTTTGAAGGGATTCAGTCAATCTCAAAGCCCACTAGGCGCATCGTGCTCTCTTCAGTCGCTCGGCTTTATGACCCATTAGGCCTTGTTGGTCCTGTAATTTCAAAGGCAAAGATCTTTCTCCAGAAATTGTGCCGTGAGAAGTTGTCGTGGGATGAAAGTCTTCCTCAAGCTCTTCTCTGGAATATGATTTGTAGCAGCTTTGTTAGTACGCAGCGCGCCGAATTCCCATGGTCCATGGATTCTGTGACGCCAGCATTGACGCGTATGGGGCATGCGTTTATATCGTGTCCAAGGGCGTAGGATCTGCAAGTTATTTACTCTGCTCGAAGTCCCGAGTTGCGCCTTCAAAGACTGTTACAGTGCCGAAGCTGGAGCTATCGGGAGCCAAGTTGTTGGCTCGACTTATGTCGGAAGTAGCCCAGTTGAAGGTCTACATTGGAAAGTATGTTTGCTGGTGCGATTCTGCTGTGGCTCTGTATTGGATTCGAGAAGAACCCTCTCGGCTTAATGTTTTCGTCGCCAATCGAGTTTCGACCATTCAGAGGCTAATTAGAGAAATGGAGAGGCGGTATGCTCCCACTTCTTTGAACCCAGCAGACATCCTGTCGCGTGGTGCTCTCCCCAATGAATTGGTTGGGAATAAGCTTTGGTCTCACGGTCCTCCGTTTCTCAATGGATCCCAAGAGGCGTGGCCAACCGCGGTCCCATCTGAGAGATCAACCCTGGAGTTACGTGCAAGGGTCCTGCTCATTCAGTCTCCGTACTTGGATATAACAGCGGTTTCTAAGTACGCTAATTCGTTTCCAGCACTGCAGAGGGTATTTGCTTACGTATAGAAGTTCTCTCAACGAATTCACTACAGCGGTGTTACGGCTAGCGATATAAAATCTGGAACACAGCTGTTATTGCGACTAATTCAGCGTGCGCATTTTTGGGAGGACATAAGGCTCTTCAAAGTGGAAAAGAGATAGCGGTATCCAGTGCCCTTGCCTCACCCTCTCCCTTCTTGGATAAATTTGGTTTGTTGCGCGTAGACGGTCGGCTAAAAAATTCGTCGTTGGATTTTGACAGTCAGCATCCAATTACACTCCCAAGAAGCCATCCAGTTACGCAGGCTATAATTGCTGACTTCCATGAGCGAAATTTACCTACGGGACCTCGCGCACTGTTGGCAATTATTAGGTCCCAATATTGGCCAATTGGGCGGAGAAAAACCGTGACGAAGGCAATACACAAATGCATTCGATGCTTCCGGACTAAGCCTCGGCTGTTGGAGCACATTATGGCTGATCTCCCGGAGCAAAGAGTTAGCGGCTCCCAGGTCTTTGGAGTCACTGGGGTGGATTTTTGTGGACCGTTCTATTATAAGCCGGAAGTGCGCAATAAGGCTCCAGTAAAATGTTACGTTAGCATTTTCATTTGTTTTGCTACCAAAGCAGTCCACCTGGAGCTTGTAAGGGATCTGTCCACAATGTCTTTTTTACAGGCTTTGAAGCGGTTTATATGCACCCGTCGAAGGCCTCAACATATTTGGTCGGACAACGCAACCAACTTTGTTGGAGCCAAAAACGAGCTGAAGGAGCTGCGCCGATTGTTTCTAAGCGAAGAGCATCAACGGGCACTGCTGGAGTTTTGCTCTATGGAGTCCATGGAATGGCATTTTATTCCTCCTCGATCTCCGCATTTCGGTGGTCTGTGGGAGGCGGCTGTTAAAGCCGCCAAGCACCATTTTTACCGGGAGGTCGGATCCGCAGTTCTTGGATTCGAGGAGCTGCGAACGCTGCTGTGCCATGTTGGGGCTTTTATAAATTCACGACCCTTAATGTCTCTTTCAGAAAATCCTGCAGACCTTGATGGTCTGACCCCGGCTCATTTTTTAACTAGTGGTCCGTCAGTCAGCTTTATTTGAGCCTGATGCCACAAAGCTGAACTTTAACCGGTTGGACAGCTGGCAGCGCGTGTCTTTCCTGCAGCAGTCTTTCTGGTCCCGATGGAAGGAGGAGTACCTAAGCCTTCTCCAGCACCGCTCCAAATGGCGCGCCTCCGGTCCTGCCTTGGCCCCGAACGATGTGGTGCTAGTAAAGGACGAGAATCTACCTCCGATGAAATGGCCGCTTGCGAGAATAATGGAGTTAATCCCTGGTCGGGATGGTATCTTTCGAGTGGCGGTGATAAAAACCTCATCTGGAGTTACCAAGCGAGCAGTGACTAAGCTGTGGCTGTTGCGCCTTAAGGATGAAGTTGGAGTTGAAGCCCCAACTGGGGGGAGAATGTCGGGTCAAGCAGCAAGCAACTAATTGAAACATAATAATTAATTAGTAACTGATGTTTTGTTGGTCGCAAGCCGACTCTCTTTCGGCCGCTCGGATTTGCTAATTCGGCGTTTAAAGGTGGCGAGCATCCGCTCAGCCTATTCCGAAAGGGTGGCGCCACTCTCATTCGTCTTCTTATTGCGCTCGCATCCTAAATTGGATTTCAAATATTGTTCATAAACCCAAATTTCATATGCGGCCTGAATAAAGTTTATAACGTTGAAATTAATGAAATTCTGATTTTTATTTACGGCATTGAAAACGCTCAATGACCAAACAGTTCGGATGTTCCTGTTTATTGTTTATTGTAATTTGGAAAATATATATAAATATATTAAATAAAATATTTGTAAAACATATCAACTTCGGCTCTGCCCGAAGAGGCGGACATCGTACAGGCGTACACTATCTCAACGTTGACATTGACCCAATTTAGCTTTCCTTTCTTGAATATTTTGACATAAGGTACCAAAATTTAGTATTGTATTTCAAATTTTGACAGACCCAAACTCATGTATAAATTATTTATTCAAAAGCTACATTGATTTTTTTTTAGGCGTGTCCGCACACTTTATGCTTGCATGGGAGAAAGTGAGGGTGAGCTGTCGTTTGAGCCCAATCAAATAATAACAAATGGTACGATGTAAATGCTACTGTTTTAAAATCACAAATATGTATCTCGTCTCTCTTTTCAGTACGATTTTCTCATGAACCTGGTTGGCTCCAGGGTACGTTAAATGGAAAAACGGGACTTATTCCTGAAAACTACGTGGAACACTTAAAAACCTATAAATAAAAATAAAACCATTATATAAAAATTTGTTTATAAATATACTAGATTAACAACAAAAAATTTCATTACATAACAATTTCTTGTTTAATCTTGTTTAAATGTGCCTCTATGTGTAAATGTATAGCTTTTAAAATTTTTTAAATCTGTGAGCTGCAATGTTTGTTATTTTATAAAAGAAAGTAATTTGTGGTGCTTAAAAAATGCTTAATACTTTTTTGACCTTCTCGAGTTATATAAATATACCTCATGAATTTAAGAAATAGTCGAATCGATGAAACTTTGTCTGTCTCTCAGAATTAAAACCTGAATTTCGGATAGTAATATATGGGCAATTCCATAGACACGCACGCGACAATCGTACGCGTTTAAAGTGCAATAAAAAAGAAGTATTGGTTTTTTTCACCCAATGTTTTCAGTGTTTAAGAACCTTAATACTGAACTATTTTTGGTAAAAAATTTGAGGGCTGGCGATGAAAGGTTCCTGAGATATGAGCAAACATTGTGTGGAACGCACGCGACAAAAAACGGAAGTGGTTTTTTTTTTAAGTCCACTCAAGCTCAGAATTCAGCGAATTGGCTTGATATTTTTTTATGCGGTCTTTTACAAAATTAGGGGACATATGTACCTTTCTTTCGATAAATGAGTCATTAAAAAAGATTAGGTAGTTTATTTTTAAGAAATTAAAGTTTGGAACGTTACGCGACAGAACGCACGCGACAAAAATTTCCCTAGTACTATATCACATTAAAAACAAGTCCTATGAAAAGAAATCAGTTTTATTATATTTAAAAAAAAAAAAAGAATTAAGTATTTTTAATAGTTTCTGATTAAATCTCACAAAAATGTTAATATCAGGCGACTTTAAAAAGCAGTCTGTGCTGCTTTTGTTAATATTTTCGATCACATGTTAAGTGATGCAATTTATGAAGTCCATAAATACTTGGGACTTTCCTCCATGTTTTATTTAAGAGTGGTATATACTCGTCAACATCCTTTGTTGAAATATATAGTAGTTCAACACTATTTATATGCTGTTTTGCGCATTCATAAAATGCATAAGCGTCTTTTTGTACTAAATGTTCGGCTTTTACAACTTGCCAAACTTTCATTTTTAAAACAGCACCTACCTGAAACAGCACCTGGAGTAATCTATAAATTTTATGAATAATTTTATATACACAGCTCATCAATGTAGAAAAAAATTATAATTTTTTACTTACATTGGGAACGCACGCGACACACTTAATGTATTAAAAACCTTAACAAGTTCTCACCGTAAAAATATGGAAAAATATTTTTTAGTTTTTAGGCTATAAACTCTGTTTAGAAATAAATTTTCAACCACTTTCAATTATCGACACCGATGTAATGATAATAAATGCTCCAAATACGGAACGCACGCGACATTGAAATTAGCGAAATATAAATTAAAACGTAAGCTAAGATTATGCATTCCTTATCTTCCCGTGTATTTTTTTTTCTTCTCTTTTTCTCTGAGATAGATAAAAACGCATTGGCATAAGCATAGTTGATCTCTATTTAGAATAATGAATTAAAAAGGAAAGCCATCAAAAATGTTGCGAAATGAAAAAATGTACATGTTGAACTTTAGGCCCACGTATTTTGCCATTAGAATTAGGGATGTCGAATTTTTTAAAATTATCGTATCGATAATATTTTCTGTTTTAAAAAAATATCAAAATGATATAAATATATATCGCTACTAAAAATCGATATATCGATGTTTTTGATATTTTTTTTTGTTTCCCAAAAAGTTTTTTAGAATATAAAATAATAGAAATAAAACACAGAAATTATTATTGCTGTTTAGTTTTTCTCATCTTTAGTTTTTTAAATTCATAAACATAACATTTGAAAATTATAAAGAAAACAAGAAAGAGAAGCTAACTTCGGGCGGAGCCGAAGTTGATATACCCTTGCAGTTAAAACCGGATATATATCGCAAACATCGGATATAGTTGGCCGATCCTTATGAGAATATGATGGGATAATTGGGAATATAACCCAATTTATTATAATACAAAAACCAAACCTAAAAATGTCCCAAACTTCTATCTTCAAAAACACAAAAGTTGGGTCATTTCCGATCGTTCAGTTATATGGCAGCTATAGAATATAGTCGGCCGATCCTAATGAAATTTGGTAGGTTGGATCAACTGGCCAAAAATATAATCTGTATTAAGTTTCAGCTTTCTATCTTCAAAAACACGAAAGTTGGGTCATTTCCGATCGTTCAGTTATATGGCAGCTATAGGATATAGTCGGCCGATCCTTATGAAATTTGGCACGTCGTAATAGTTTGCCAAAGATAGCTCTCGTGTCAAATTTGAACTCTCTAACTCTAAAAACACCAAAGTTATGTCATTTCCGATCAATCAGTTATATGGCAATTTGATCAAAGAGTGACCAACGCAGAAATATCAGATAATATCAAAAAAACTATCGCACACTCGATATTTGGGGAAAAAATATTACGATATAAATATATTATTTTTCCCAAAAAATATCGATATATTGATATTTTGATATATTATCAACAACCCTAATTAGAATATATTTGAGTCTGAAACTGTTTAATATATAAAAATTTAACTATTTCTTAGTTTAAAAAAGTTTATACAATATGGATTTATTATCATTTAATTTTTCGTTCACGGTTGACCTTTCTGTGGAATTGCCCATATGTTTTGCAATTTTGTTTAAGTTAGATTACTTAACTCGGCATGTCTCGCGCAATGCCAAGTAGATTTATTTCAAAGCGATAATTGCGACTGAGTAAATCTTAGCAAAGAATTTAAAGTAAATTGATAAGACACCTCATTTTTACACCCAAATCGTCCGATTTTTTATAGAATTTTTTTTTTTCGCTGTGTTGGATCATAAGCTTAGAGGCCCAGACGACCAAGGGGCGCTCGAGAAACGAATAATTAGTAAACAAATTATAAAGCTAGGAGGAGCTAGTAAGGAAATTTAAAATTCCATAATTTAAATTTGAAGGAAAGGAAAGAGATTTTATAGAGTAACCAACCATTGGAGTTGGAACATAATACCCTAAAAGGGTCATGCAGTGCATATGTCGAACTACCACGGCTAAGGAACAGAGGACTAAAGTTTCGAGTCCTTCTATTAGGAATGTTAAAATTTAAGCGTGTTAGTAAATGCTGGCTATCTACATCCCCGTTAATAAGGTTATGCAGAAAAACTACACCGAGCATTGTCCTACGATTTGTTAAGCTAGGTAAGTTTATGAGTAAGAGTCTACTATTATAAGATGGAAGGTGAAGATTTGCATCCCAGTTTAGACCTCTAAGTGAAAAAGTTAGGAAATTCTTTTGTACGGATTCTATGCGGTCCTGATGTACTCCATATTGGGGACTCCAGACACATGAACCGTACTCCAGTATAGGACGGACCAAAGAAATGAATAGTGTTTTGGTTATATAGGGGTCATTAAATTCTTTTGACCACCTTTTGATAAAACCAAGGACTCCTTTAGCCTTATTAACCATTAAGGAAATATGCTCGGCAAATTTAAGTTTGATGTCTAATAGGATGCCGAGGTCATTAACCTGGGTTAATTTTTCTAAGGCAATCCCATTAATAGAATAAGTAGCTTGCAGAGGGCAAGAACGATAAAAAGACATATGTTGGCATTTATATCCATTAAGTATTAAATCATTAGCTAAACACCATTTTTGAAAGTTATCAAGGTCAGACCGAAGACTGCATTGGGCAGAGATGGATTTGTACTGAAGACAAAGCTTTACATCATCTGCATACATAAGAACTAGAGAGTTCGTTAAAGCAGGGGGCAAGTCGTTTATAAAAAGCGTAAATAATAACGGGCCAAGATGACTTCCTTGAGGGACGCCGGATGTAGCACGGACCAGACGGGACTGAATGTTTTTAAATAAAACTCTTTGTGTCCTTCCATCTAGGTAGCTGGAGATCCACGTTAAGAGGTCTTTAGGAAAACCCAGCATATTCAGTTTACTCAACAAGAGAGTGATTAACTGAATCAAATGCTTTGCTGAAGTCTGTGTAAATTACATCGGTTTGATATCCCTTACAAAAGCCATCTATGACAAAGGATGTCAACTCCAATAAGTTTGTGGTGGTGGAGCGACGCTTAATAAAGCCATGCTGACAAGGAGTGATGATCGAAGAGCAAAGGTGTTGCAAATGAGGGGTAATTAATTTTTCAAATAACTTTGGAATTGCCGACAACTTAGAGATGCCTCTGTGACTTTTTCCCTCCTTACATAAAGTAGGGGAATTATGAATGATTCCTTCCACTTAAGGGGAAAAATCGAGGTTTCCAACAATAAGTTGAAAAGTCTTAGAAGAGGTTTGCACAGAGCCCTGGCACAATATTTTAGGACACAGCCTGGTACTCCATCAGGGCCTGGCGCATAAATGGTTTTGACCTTTAGAAGATCTATTGTCAGAGAAAAACGGACAGAAAATAAGATTAGCTGATAGAATGTTGTATGCGTATGGCTGATCTGTCAATTTAGGCGGAGAATAAGTTGTTTGAAAAAATTCTGCGAATAGATCGGCTATGGCCTGATCAGAGGTCGCAGATGAATTTTCAAATGTAAGCAGTGGTGGGAAAGATACATGTTTACGCTTTGTGTTTACAAAATTATAAAACTGCTTCGGATCCTGAGTAAATTGTATTCGGCAACTACGAATATAATTCCTGTAACATTCAGCGTTATGCACGGTAAAATTTGACCGAGCTAGTAGATATCTTGAGAAATCAATACTACTGCATGTTTTTTTTATTTAAGTAAGAGCCTATTTTTGGTATTTTTTAAGTTTTTGGGGCACCTTGAAAACCAAGGAGGATTTGTTGAAGCGGACGAATATTTCCATAGCACACAGGAGAAAAAAAAAAAAATGTATTTAAAGTACAGTAAAATTTTTTCAAGGTGATGTTAAGAATATCTGATACATATGTATCTGATACATATGTACATGACGAGGATTCATTATCCGAGTCTTTGACCGGACTTTCGGCGAAACGTTTTCTGGCGCGTGGCATGTTGATTGAATTTCACAACTCGACTGACTCTTTAATTCATGTCGATCCCTTTTCAATTCCTTCTCACCCTCCAATACACACGCACAGTGTGGTGAGTTATGACGAACACTATCTGTCTCACTCATGCCCACGGCGAGACTACGTTGACAGAATTATGTATCTGCCTCGCACGAAAGAAAGGGGAACCACAAAGAAATAAAACAAATGTGTACCAACAAATAATCGTTATAATTTGAATGTTTAAATTATTCTGCGACACGGCCTTCCTGACCTATCTCACGTCCTCGTGAGTTTACAATATAAAGGTTTTACAAAATATTCTCTTATTATTATTATTATTATTTTCCTTTTAATACATATTCAAATTCAAGCAGGTTTCGCAAAAATACGTTTTTCTTCTTAAATAAAAATTGAACAAATTATTTCTTACTCTTATACAACGTTTGCCATGAGATTCAGATTACCACCAA